CTTGAAACGGCACGTATTGTGAGGAGGTTTCTGTCTCTGGAGCCCTAACCACCGGTAGCTTGGACCATGCTCCCGCTACTGGTCGGCTCCTATTTTTTATATTTTTAAATATTATTTTTGTCTTTATAAGTAGTATTTAAAAATGTATTTTATAGAGAATTTTGAAATAAATATATGGAATAATTGAATTAAATATAGATTATGCAATTCAGCCTACCGGTGAAAAATTGGGTATTTTTCATTGTTCATAGACAAATAGGTCAAACTATATTTCCTATTCTTAATCTGCATTTGCAGAATAAGAATAGACATATTATAGATACATTAAAGCATTTAAGCTTTCAAGCTTAGCGAGCTAGCCGGCCCATGCAGGCCCATGCATGCCGCAGCATGGCTCCCCACATGAAATCACGCGTTAACATTGTTGTTAAGTACATAATTATAGATAAAATCATTAGTTATATTGATTTGCAAGTAGATAATGCACACAATAAAACATATTGCGGTAAGAAAATAAATGTTTTATTTCATATAAGTATAAATACAACAAAGTTTTACATAATATATAAGTTTTACATTTTTCATAAGTAGGTAGATACTTAAGAGGTTAGTAGACTTAGAAAAGTTATTCGTAAACTTTGATTGGAATGAAGTGTTACTCAATATATAGATTTTGTCATTATGACGAACAAATAACATTGTTTTTTATTGCAATTATGTCAAGATAGTAGTGTATCGTTTCTTAAGACTTTTTAAGCTAACACGGCACTAATTAATCCAGCTGTCGACCTTCAAAACTGTGCCTAAGGCCATAAAGATAATAATGGTTTTATCATTAATGCTAGTTGTAATCGTAATTCCTAATGTTCTTCCCCGGACATAGTCCGCTAAAAACACATGGCTACCTCTCTGTGGACACGTTAGATATTGTCCTTGAAAGTGCGTGCGCGTCAGCTGTAACACCTATCTTAAGCACTTAAGCATTCTTGTCAAACGAGTCTTAGCTAGTCAAAATTATATAATTCAGCATAATTTGCTAAATTAAAATTAATCCAAGAATTTCTGCAGATTTTTTTATAATCAATTATTGAAGAAAAGCGAATAAGAAGATAGAGTCAGCTGACGTTATATGTATATAGATTCGAGCTTTGTAACGTAATGATCCAGAGTTTGAGAAATTAAAACATAGTAGGTTAGGTACTTAATATTATTATTAAGGGTTATTTTGTAATAATACTTATTCCAATATATCAAATTACTCTTAGGTAGTCGTTCGTTTATCGATATCCCTTGTGATACTTGTAGGACAGGTACGCGTCCACTCCGTGAAGTATGCCAACCACAACGCCGATGTACTGGAAAAATAAAAAAAAAAATATTTCTTAATACAGTTAAAAATGTTCACGAACAATATTTGTGCAATAAAGGAAAATAAAATGTGATTTCATAGATAATAACCAGATTGCACCGGATCAACACGTCTATCTATTAATCACAGGTAGGTATTTCACATTGATAAATTGTTTTGTACGCGAATGTGAGATTTGAAACTTACTTCGCAACGTCATATCAACCTTACCTTACTCATATACCTTTTGGAACAACTTTTCGTCACTTATTCACTACATGCAAGTGTCGTGTGTAATTTTATCAGACATTTTATTGTTCAAAATTAGCCTCTAGAAGCCTTGAAACGTTCTTCAAGGATTAGGATTAAAAAAATATGAAATAAATACCACTTTCTTTAATGATTAAATCATGTCCTAAGATAATGAGAAAATTGTACCAAACTAGTACAAAATACCTGTAAGTAACAGTAATTAATAATGACTGAAGGTTATTGAAGATAGAGGTAAGGTAGTCATACATCAAAACTGTCAAGGTGAATATTAATTCTTTATAATATTTATTATAATAAGTACCACAGCGCAGCACAGCTATAATATAGGGCACTGGAGGTCCTGAACGAATTCCATAGTGGTTAAATTCTATGGGTCGTATAATCTCAAGTGGTAGCTGAATGTGTAAGCAATAAGCAAGAACTTACGTAGACGGCAGTCATGGCCGGGTACGCGGCGTACATGCTAACGAGCGCGTACTGCGGGTACAGGTAGATGTTCACTGCTACGCCCATGTAGGAGGACGCCGACAAGTACAGGAAACACGCCACCGTGTTGAACAGACATTCCTATGAACATAAATACGTATAAAATTATTATTTATTATTAAAAATATAATTACATTCAGTCGTTGTTTATTTTTCAGTTGTTTTGAAAAGATAAGCCCTCGTGAAGCCGTGAAAAGACTTAGGAAAGGCCAATGTCCAACTGTAAAAATAAACTGATAAATCTGATAATAAAATACTTTTTGCATATCTGGACTAATTATTATTGAAAATTAAGTTTAGAATGTAATAATTAAAAATAAAATTACATAAATAAATCACGAGGTAAATATTTTTAGAGCTACTAAAGAATTTTCGTACTTATCTAGTCTTAACGATTCATTGTGTAATGTAGCATCGAAACGTAAGTACCTAGGTATTACTAACATCAATTCAGTTCATGTCAAAACATGTCCATGTTGACAATTTAGGTCACTTACGAAGATGGACTGCCGTATGAGCTGCTGTGTGTGTGAAGAGAGTACGTAGCAGGCAATTAGGAGAGCAGTAGTCAGGAGGCAGGCGGAGGCCGTCGTCAGGAACCCATGAAAGGCTGAACCCATGTTGCTGGCCTCAGACATGCCATACTTCACCAGCAGACTCTGGCACAAACCACCCAACATCTGTCGTCAGCGTAAAAAGCACGAATTTGAATATCTGACGGTTATTGATACAAAGTATTTTTAATGGAAATAACATAATGTTTTGCATAAAAATATCATCACTATCAGGGACTGAATAACCGAAAAATTACGATACCTTTAAATTGCGGTATGACGTCATACCGTTAAATAACGGTTACCGCTTAATTTCGGTATCGAAATTTAATTTCGGTACCGCTATTTTTGGGTATGAAATGAAAACCGGTATATTTCGGTACCAGTATCCTAACCTGAATAATAAAGATATGAGAGAGATATTGACCGCGCTAGATCATCTATCCTATTTCATCGCATTGCATTAGTTTGGCTTGTTCTCTGGACACAATCACATGCGGCTCGCGTTATAATATTTTATGGTGTGCTGAGTTGAATTGAGATAACAATTATTAACAATGTCAAATAACGCACGAAAACTTATAATAACAGAAATAAGTAAGTATATGTACTTATTACTACTTATGTAATCTGATAATAACATACTTCTAGTTGACACGTAACGAGTACTAAGTACTAGTATCTTACCTACTCGTTGTCGACGCGTACGGCACGCGGCGGCGATCTAACGCCAGTAGACACGCTCACACACAGACGCTGCGTGCGTACTATTTTATTACACTTTTTATGTTATTACACTATAGCTCATTACTATAGTTTATTATAACGTAGTGTGTTATAATATTTTTTTTACCTTATAGGTATATATTTTCACGACATTTTTGTCAAAAATTGGTTAAATGCCTAAAGTTTTTTTATTTCTACCTCGTCGGGCGCGGATTTCCAGAATTCTTGTTTTGATTCAAAGGGTATACTCCCGAGATGGTCCTTTTCATTGAGGTCAGGATCTGATAATAGAAGCCTAGGAAAACCGAGGAGAACTTTCGAAAATTGTAGGGGCGTGTAATATGTGTATTGTTATTCAATTAGGATTTTTAAACTCTACCCCAGGAGGGTACCAGCTCCGCTGGAGAATCCCTCCCTGAGCATGATTGCTCAGGCAGCCCCGTCGTATCTTGGCAAATTCCCAACGGCGACGTGCTCTGCCACACGTCACGTTTTGTCTCCCCGTGAGTAGGCAGAAAGCGGGCTGAGGATTGCCTTTTTGCTACACTGAATGTGTGTGGAGGCGTAGAAGGCAAGATGTTAGAAATATGTGAGATGATGAATACAAGAAAGATTGATTTGTTAGGGATGAGCGAGACGAAAAGAAAGGGTTGTATGACTACCACACATGGCCAATATATTGCTTACTGGTCTGGTGTTGCAAGTTCCCAGAGAGGCAGCCAGGGCGTGGGGGTCATACTATCTGAAAGGATGAATGAATGTGTGAAAGAGTATAAATGTGTGAGTCCCAGGATACTTTAGATCCGCCTTAAAATTGGCTTGACCAAATTATTTGTCGTCTGTGCTTATGCCCCGGACATCTCAAAGCCAATTGGGGTGAGGGAAGTATTCTGGGATAACTTGAGAGATGTTCTTAATGAATGTAAAGAGAATGAAAGAATAATTATGCTTGGAGATTTTAATGGATGGGTTGGAGTGGCACGCGATGGGTACGATAGAGTATTAGGGCGATTTGGAGACGAACGAGTGAACGAGAATGGTGTATGTCTTCTGGATATATGTGTAGAAAAGGAACTTTTTGTGACCAACACAACATTTGGTCACAAGAAGATACATATGTATACATGGCAGAGGCATACAGAAAGAAGTACGATTGATTTTGTGATTGTTGATGAACGCCTGAGGACAAAACTGAAGGATACAAGGGTTTACCGTGGCACGAATGTCGGAAGCGACCACTTCCTAGTAATTACTAGAATAGCTGGACTGGCAATGAAGTGGAGACATCGGCCACGGGTAAGGTTGCTTGGAACCGAGAGAGTGAGAGTTGAACGGTTGAGAGAAGAGGCAGCTAGGGACCAGTACAGGAAACTATTAAATGAAAGGTTTAGGGAGCTAATGAAAGGTTACGAAAGGAATATAGAAGAATTTTGGAAGGAATTTAAGGATGGAGTGATCGCAGTAGCTACTCAAGTATGTGGGGTAAGCAAGAAAAATAACACTGGAAGCAAGAGGAATGAATGGTGGGATGATGAAGTAAAAGAGGTGATAGAGCAAAAGAAGAAAGCATGGCTCGACTTATTAGCCTCAAAGGCAAATAGAAGAGTGCTAGAAAGTATGATAGAAAAGTACATTAGTCTCAAAAAGAGAGCAAAAGCGGTAGTTAACAAGAAGAAAAATGAATGCAAGGAAAAGTTTGAAAGGAATTTTTCGCGGAACTTTCGAGCCAACGCTAAACTATTCTGGCATTTAGTTAGAAAGGCCAGAGGCAAAGTGGGGGACTCGAAAGTAAGTACGATAAGGGATATAAATGAGTGTCATTGAAGAAAGTAAGGATGTTTTAAAGCAGTGGAAGGAATACTTCGAGAATTTATTTGAAAGGAGTGATTTGAAAGAAGAGGAAGTAAACGATGAAAATGAAAGTGCTAATGTGGGAGAAATAAATATGGATGAAATTGTGAGTGCCATTAAGAGTTTGAAAGTAGGTAAAGCAGCGGGATGTGATAGGATAACTACTGAAATGCTAACAGAGGGTGGAGGTGTAATTGCAAGCCTGGTGTATCTAATTTTTAATAAGTATTGGCGGTGCGGTCGTGTCCCTGGAGTCTGGGCCAAGGCCGTAATTGTGCCACTGTATAAAGGAAAAGGATCACAGCAGGAGTGCAAAAATTATCGCGGTATAAGCCTCCTAAGCGTAGTAGGAAAGTTGTATGCCAAGGTATTGATCGAAAGAGTGATGGATGTAACTGAGCGTAAAATCTGGGATGTGCAAGCGGGATTTCGAAAGGGAATGGGATCAAGAAATGTACGGATCAAGTCTTTTCGTTACGGTTCATTTCAGAGAAAGTGTTATCAAAGCACCAAAAGGTATTTTGTGCCTTTATAGACCTAGAAAAGGCTTATGACAGAGTGGTGAGGGATGAATTGTGGTCAACTCTGTCCATGTATGGGGTGGATAGCCACCTGATTCGGGTACTTAAATCCTTATATAAGGACTCGAGTGCCGTTGTCTGAATAAATGGGGACTACACAGAGTGGTTTAAAATTAATCGAGTTGTTAGGCAAGGCTGTGTAGCATCTCTTTGGCTGTTCAACCTATTTATGGACAGCTGTTTGAACGACCTGAAAGTAGGAGAGTCTGGATTAAGGATGAATGACACAGTGATTAAAACATTGTTGTATGCCGACGACCAGTGCTTGTTGCCTCGTCGGCCCAAGAATTACAACAAATGATCACTGCTATGAATGATGCATTTGAAAGGAAAGGTATGAAAGTAAATGTGAACAAGACGAAAGTGTTGGTGATAGAAAGAAATGAGGTGATAACAGAATGTCAGGTAATGATAGGTGATGAAAAAACCCACCGTGGGAGACAGGCGTGAAGTTATGTAAGTATGTATGTACAATTTGAAAAGGGTCTGGAGTCGACCTGATGATGGAGCCGACAGACAGTCAAAGGAACTCCTCAACGGTTTATATTAACTACCTTGTGTTTGGGCTTGATTGATTTGTATTGATGAGAACTTTACACCTAGATGGAGTAGGACTATCATTGAGGGTCTGATGATGAAGAACTGTAATTGTTAAGGGAACTCATCAACGGTTTATAGTAACTACCTTGTGTTTGGGCTTGTATAATTTGTATTATATAATAATTGTAGTTAAAATTCCAAGGTAGGTACCTAATCCTATTCATCTTATGAACATAATATTATATATACCTAGTAAATAATCAAAGTTTAGGTAAGTACCTACCCTAACGAACGATACCCAATGACTGGTTTTATGTAGGTATGTAATATAAGTAAACAAACATTACGATGTTCTTAGGTACACACCTACCTAGGATATCCGAAAGTTTAGATAGGTACGTACCGAATAATAAGATAAATGTTATAGTTAGGTATCTTATAGCTACAAGATAGATAATTATGTACATACCTACCAATTACATTTAGGGTATAGGTTGTATAAGTAGTACCTATATTGCATCTATACTCACTGACCGGTCAAAGTTTACAATGAATGGGTACAATACTTATTTTATTATAGCTAAGCATCCAGTTACTAAATATGTAGAAACATTACTTTCCTTGGAAAATGAAAAAAACGCATGTACTCATTAGTACTTATATCTCAATCCATATACTGCATTTTTACGTTTCCGCCTCATAGTTAATAGTTACACGACTATTATATAGTTATTAGATAGGTACGGTACACACAAATCATACAACGGTAGCGTAGTTTAGTTGCACCAGTGACACGAATAAACAGGTACACAGGCGCGCGTTTTTCGCTTGCCGCTGCTCCACGCCTCGGAGTGGGGCCCCTCGCACCACACCCCGCACACTCCTAGCTTTACGTCTCGCAACGGTCAAATCTAAGTTTTTCGGTACCGTTATCGCATAAAGGTTAAATACCGGTATAGCTTTAATTTCGGTACACTTATTTTATACCGGTACCGTACCGTTATACCTTAACCGCTTTCAGTCCCTGATCACTATGGACTACATTCTAAAAGTTTTGCTGAATATCGAACTGATATTTGATATTTGACCTATATTATTGTTTCATACATCCGTCTAGACATACATAAATGAAATGAAATGAGATAAGATTATTTTTTGGTGAAGGTTTCTTTTGATTTGATGCATAAAAAAATTGTAAAGATGTTGAAATTCAACAATCCACGATATAATTTATTTTACACAATGTAAATAAGTATTGCGACAATTTCAGGGAGATAAATAATGTTAGGTACTTACAGCTTCAGCTAGCTTTATAATTCCATGATGAGTGGTCAAGTATCCAAGGTTGAGGCATTCGCAGCATCGGCAGCAGCAACATTTGATGCCCTTCTCACCTCCGCCAGGCGCCACACGCACTATCGTCGGTCCCATTGTATCACTATAACTTCACAGAAGACGCACAAAACACCGGCAAGTTCATCAGAAAGTTTCACAATACTGCTGAAACACCACACAGGAAATAAAGGGGAGTTCAATCCTCTTACTCGGTTAGTTATTACTCATAACGATATGTTTAGAAGACCGCATAGTTTTTAACTGTTTGGGAGCGCGTTCATCGAACTCTGAAAATCGGAACTTCACAATAAACCTTAAAGCAGAACGAAGTGAGATTTTTTCACTGTTTCTTTGGTATTTGATGAAAAACACGGCAATCAATATATTCGTTTAAATAATTGAAACAAAGGACATGTCGGGTGCGGAACAAAGTTGGAATATTTTTGAATGAGACGCGTGCCCGCGCGCTGCTTGTGCGCTTAATTACAAAAATAGAGCGACGCACTCGCGACGGGAGGGTTACTTTCTATTTCAGGATATTTTATTTACAAACTCATTAACCTCATTGTTTTGTTTTTTTACGTACGATGTATACGTCACAAACTATCGACGTATCTAATTAAAACTTTATCTCGTCTAACAATCTGGTCCGTTTTCCTAAACAAATAAAATAAATGTAATGTTAAGTAGTTCCTTATTTAATTGAACATTAGAGATATTATCTGTTGCGAGTTGCAAAGTATTTCGGAATTGCCACCCTCATTTTATTGAAAAACTTAACGATTGATAGATTAAAAATTACCTATGAAAGTCAACGCATATATTTACAATATGGTAATGATATCTAATATAATTATGGATTTTGAATAAAATTAGACGTTGACAAAAAGTTAACTCACCCTGTAGAAGGTAATAAAACTCATATTTCAGGCGTTAATCACGTTATTATAATGGCATGATTGGCATGGCAAGAGTCGCGTCATTTTGGGTGACCTACTTAGATAGCAAGGGCTTAACATTACAATTGTTATGACAAATGTAAGAACTGCAGTTTCAGAATGCACGTAGACTTTTTGTCGACCCAATTACCACACAATAAAGGTCGTTATATTGAAACTCGTTTGTAAAATATGAAACGTTGCCTGATATATAATTTATTTCCTATGTCATGATCATTATATAAGTTTTTCAATCACAACAAACATCTTTAAATAGCACTGTTCCAGCTAATGCGCTCACTTTGCTCCTGAATAAATAAACCTACTCCTCTAATGATCGTTGTCATTGATCACATTGCGGTATCCAAGACAAAGCATGGTGAGAGAGCGCATGATGGCATTAGACTTATAGGCACGAGATGCAACAAAAATTACGTAGAGGAAGTCCTATAATAAGGTGGGAATTTGATCTAAACAATAGAGCTGGACTGATACAACCAGAGAGAACTTGAGGATGCTTATGTCAAAAGGTAACCTGTTTTTTTTAAGGGGGGAAAATCGAATGACTGCTCCCGCCTGGGTGAGGCGAGAGGGAGTGTCAGACTCTTACTGACTAAAAACCACCCCGTTCCTTCTCCTGCACGTTGAGCCGGAGCCGGCCCTGTTGGGTCGAGGTGGTCTGATGGCTCTTAGAGGCGCGCGCGCAACGCAACGCGCCGTACGCTCCAGGTCTGTTTCTGGTCGAACGGGGAGCCACCCATGCTCGCCGTCCGCAGGCACGCGCAAGATAACCTGGTTTGGGAGCTAATAAACACCAACCTACCAGTAAGGATATAAGATATAAGCTTTTCTTTTAACTCTTAATTGATATCGTCATGCGTCAAGGCGGGCGAGCCTTCACCCTCCTCCCAAGGCGGGCGAAAACATTGATGATTTTCCCCCGAATTTGAATCCGCAAGGGCAATATGAGATAAGGCCACATGTAGAAGATGAATACCGCAATAGTTTTGAGGGGTCAGACTCTTACTACCCAGTAAGAGTCTAGCCTGCCCCCGTCAACCCTATGACGAGGATAGTGCAGGAGGGTTACTATCGTGATAAAAAAAGACTTCATTGTTTCAGTGCTTTTCTGGTTAGAGGGGCTATTGGTTATCTTATAAATCTTATTAATAATCTTAAGTGGGGACTTAAGATAGTCAATAGCTAAAAGAAAGGATTAGTAATGACCGGTACGTGTGACAAACGGATCGTCTTCTTGTAGATATTGGGATAAAATCCACATCTGCTTGATAGAAAGGGTGTAGGTACTTGTAAACAATTAAACACTATATTTTACCAAAGTAGAAACATTTATTTTACTTGTATATAGTTTTCTTTATTTATAGAATGTGGGTAAAGCCCTGATTTTTCGTCGATTTAAATTCACATCATCAATAAAAATTAAAAGATACGAAGAATTAAGGGCTTTACATAATACGTTAATACAGCGGCAATAAATAAAGTAATCCAAGGTTGCGTTTTAATCCAAGCTGATTGATACGTAACATACTCTACTTAAATTAGCGTGAATTACTTAATATTATCGGAGGCGCATTTACTGCTTTACTCTAGTTCATATACAGGGTGCAGTTTAACATCGACGTAAGAAATTTAAAATAACTATAGTATCTTCTAGATATATTTGTAGATACTTCTAGCTAAATTTTTTTTCAAAGGGGACCGCTGTTTTATTCAAGACACATGTGGAAAATTTTTGGCTGGAAGTATAATACCCATACCGAAGTTTTTTTTTAGGTCAAATAGTAGGCTGCAGTCACGATGACGTAGTAAATTTAAAGATAGGTAAAAATCTAACATTCAACTATTTATCGAGTTTGAATACTATCTTAAACATGACAATGTTTAATTAGATGTTTGTATAATATACCCATAGCTTTAAAGTAAAGCTATGATGTGTTTTTCTGACATATTACTAAATGCGTATATGCATACATACATAATACAATTATTCAGCCAAGCAGGCGGATAATCACTTAATGATAAACTATTAATCGCTAAAGATGTACAAGATACCACAAGAATGTAGATTTTCCTCTATTTATCATCACTGCTTCTCTGTAAATACCAATAAAATCAATCGTGACAATAAAAATTGATAATGTGAACAGATAGTTGAAAATGTGATTCAGGAAATACAACATTAAATAAACAGCCTAAATTGTTCCTTCAATTTATGTCCCTATTAATACACAACAATATTCCAAATAATACATTACCGGGCTTTTCATATAACGGCTAATTAAACTAGTTGACTGTGACATACGTAATTATTTAAAAGTGGTATTGACGACGTGACGTCATGTTAATTATGTTATCACGAAAAAACCGATTAATTTAAAGCAAATCCGACCCTAATCTTTTAATTTTGGAAAAAAATGTTTGACATTGCGCGTTAAAACCATTAATTGATTTTTAATACGGTAATCTTTGTCTGTTACGTATATGTAGGTACTGTTTTTTAAATTGTTTTTATTTGTCACAAAATAGATTTACCTACACAAAATGGCTACCTGTCTTTTTTTTATATTTTTGGATTTTCTATCAGCGCGGGTCGCCAAGTCCACGATGTGTTCAGGAAATGATAAAACATTCGTATTCTGATAAAGGATTGTTTTACAAATAACTAATTTTGAAAACATATTATTTTATTGCTATGAGAACAACTAATTAATATCAACATTATCTGTTCAATAGATACGCAAGATATAATCTAGAACCAGAATAGTGTCGAAAGAATATATGTATAATTATAAACTGCTGTAATATACATATTCTTCTAGAATATTCTAGAATAATGTTCAAAACTTTATACATATACAACATTTAATAGCGGGCATATACATACATTACAATGGCAACAGTTTGATTTGTCGTTAGCACCAACAATACTTTATAAAAGATAAATTACAATTTTAATGCAATAAGGACATGTATATAGATATACATCGTGAAATCTATTTCGTTTTCGTCTCGGGGAAAACAACTTGCCATAAGGAGAACTTTCTATATATAAAGTAAAAACCAAAAAAATAAAGACTTAATATTTTTAGATTTAAAAAAAATGGAAATTCGCACATGAAGCACTAGAGGTAAATTTGTACGCACTATTCGCATCGCACCCGACAAGAAATACCTCTTCAAGAATTACATGACGTGGTGTTTTGATAATGTACTATGAATTCGTACGCGCTTTCAAAGTTTGTTTTTTGCAATGTTTCCCCAGTTATTTTTTTATTTAAACATTTTATTTCTTTATAAAATTATTGTATTATCAAGGCAGAACCATTTTACTTCGGGATAAAAACGAAATAGCACTACCCAAAGGATGACTGGCAGAGAATGCTGTTAGCATTAAGTCTTCCTTATGCAATTGTATAAAACTTAAATAAATAAATAAAATAGATTTCACGGTGTACAATACTTATAAGTATAGGTACCTAGTTACATTTACATGCCAGTCAATTGACAAAAAATAATAGCATTCTTTACTGACTAGGTTGTACTAAAATATTTCATAATTAATAATTTAAAATTGTATAATAACCTTAGTAATTAGTATGGTTTGGCATCTTAACAAAAACAATGCTGAACATAATATATCAGATCTTAGATAAAAAAGTGCAATGTAGGAAGTTTTAATGTGTATAGGTATTCGGATTACCTGGTTATCGATCACTTATATCATACGATGTGATTTGTAATTAATGTAGACGAGATAAAACACACATTACCTACTTCAAAAAAGTATCTTTTAAAACATGTATTGAATTATTACAATTTTGAAACAAGTCATTTGATTCTCTTTTCTTATTTAGTACAAGTATTCTGTTATTTATGAATAAATAATAAAGTGAAACTTGGTTAAGTGGGACCTGGATAAGTGAGAAACCTCTATAAGTGGAACTCATACTGATTTCCCAACACTTTGGCACTGAATAACCTCTGTTAGTGGGATGAGGTAAACCTCTATATCTGGGATTTGTTCTTTCGATTTATCATCATTGTTACCTCTATAACTGAGACAGCGAGTAAATTGTATATGCATAAACCTCTGTAACTGAGATAACATTGTTTTTTTACCCACAAATTCCACACGTAATTCCAAGTCCAGCTCTATTAATGGAACCTTCTGTAAATGAGACAGATATTTATTTATACCTGTATATCTGAGACACTGGGTAAGTGGAATACCTCTATAAGTGAAACGACATTGCAGGTCCCTTGATGTATCACTTAACCAGGTTTCACTGTATATTGTATTGAAGCACCAGTTTTACAGACAATATTTTTTTTTACTTACGGGTACCTATCTCATCTATTTTTCTCCTTGGCGTTAAATATACCTGATTGCCAGTATAAGATTGATTAACTAATAAATCGTCTTATATCATTACATAGATATTCATATATTAAAATATTAGTTATTGGTATAAATCTTTCCGAATATGTAGTAAACACGTGTCCAAAAAACTATGTAAAATATATTAATACGTTTTACGTTTTATTTATTTGTATAAAAATATGTACTGCTTTATTTATCTCTCTGTGCGTTTTCTTCGAAACTTGTCATATTTCTGAATATAAATGGTACTTTGTGTATTCATGACGTTGGCAATATAATAAAAACGCATGATAAAGAGGAAGCCCTAATTAAATGCTATAAACTTGAATTAATGGCATGGCATATTCTCATTATGGCTATCACAAGCCTAAGAATTCTCAAAATGCAACATTTTCATAACGACTAGACGATATTTAAACATTTTTAGTGGAAAATGTATACGAAATTTACATAGTACTAAACGCTGAATTAACACAACAGCGCCTCTATTGGCTGAATGAGAAACTAAATTCGTGTTTTTATATTCGTTCAAGCGTATATATTAAATATTAATTTTCTATTTAAATGAACTTAAATAAAGAAAAATGTAACTTATGTAAAAAGCTCTAACAATATCAGGAAATAAATTAATTATAGTTAAATCTAAAAATACTTGGACTAATCTAAATGCCGCGGTATTGACGATTGGCTAAGAATGTACTGAGCAGGTAAAGAGCGGCCATAATAAGTCCCATGATCTGAAATAATAAAATAATAATTAATAAATAAACAATGTAGGTAATTAATTTATGCGCTTATAAGTAAACAGGAAAAAACGTTTGAAAGGTTTATGTAATACATTATTACATGTTCTTTATTTAATATCCCAAACACCTACGATTGAATGTGGTTTTATGACATTTAAACTTATGGTTTTCACGAGTTTTTATTTTTGAGTTAATTATATTAATAATATTAATGCTGATGACGTCAACAGGGTCAAATATTAAATACCTTTACAATACTTTGTAACATTTTCAATGTACATACTTTTGTAACATGTTCATCATCATCATTCTGAATAGTCCGTGAGTCCACTGTTGGACTACAGGCCTCCTCTATAAAAAAGGATCACCACGGTTGATAAGAGGGTTAGAGATTGCAGTTTAAAATGACTTTTTATATATTTTTTTATTTTAATAAGTTTAAGCATTTGTATAATGTGTCAAGCGTGTCTTTGCATTGTTCTCACATACACGTACAGTATTAGTCTTGGAATATGTATCAGAGACATTGCAGAACATACTTTTTTAAAAAAGAGTAACGATTGGTATATCTTGCTCGTTTTTCTCTATCCGAATCTGCATTTTGGAATGAGCACCTAGCTTCACCTAGCTTCACTGGCGAACTGACTGACAGACTATTATTTATTTTGTATTTGTTGACGTTTCAAAAGTACCAAATCATGGTTTAATTAATGCTTTGACTTTGACTTTGACTTTGGGTAGTAAATTATCGAATGACTTCTTCCGTCCGGGTGGTGCCAGAGGGAGTGTCAGACTCTTACTGACTAAAAAGCACCCCGTTTGTGTTCCAGCACTTCGAGCAGGAGCCCCGGTAACCTTTTACGTTTTGCGCGGCTTCGTATCGGCCTCAACCCTATTGGGCCCCATCCACGATCAAGCTTATGTTTATCAAAGAACGCTGCTGCTTAATATCCGTAGTCTTTAGCCCCTTAGTCGAGTCTTACGTCACTAGCGGCTAGAGAAGGGGTAATTTTTCACTATAAATAAATAAGGGGTATTTTCTTACCGCGGCAGCTAAGTACGGTTCATAATCCCGTCTGTAGTGGTCCTTATAGTGGTTGACTTCTACCATGAGTGTGATCCCTGCAGCCAGGTACAATACAAATGCTACACCGTGGTATATCACCTCCTGAAAACAAATATATGTATGTATTAGAAAACATTAAATATTGACAAGGAGTTTAGTAACTATGTAATACAAAATCACCCTCAAAGATTAATAAAGCGTTTAAGCTACTTTCAAATATGTTTATTGTACTTTACAACATGTAAAGTTACACGCTACATACGCTTTGTACAAACAATATAAAGTCTATGTAGTTAGTAATATTAATCTAATAAAAACACTTCAAACCATAAATATCAACATTTAACTCCTACGTCTATGACGTCATTTGCGACAAACCTAGCGCTTGCACTTGCTTTATGGGTATCATGTTATTTCGAATTAATATAAAGATACGTACATAAATTGTTTTTGATATTATTGAAGCTGTAGACAAGGAGACGATGCACGATGTGAATAGACAAAACGTGCCTACGAGGCAGGCCACGGCCACGAGCAAATAGAACAACACCGCCTTGCCATCGCCGATGCGGTAGTATCCATGGTCCATGTAGTATGCTACTACTCCAACACATGCTGCACCCAGCAACTGAAACATAAGACGCAGTTCTTCAGTATTAAAGTTAATCGCAGTATTTACAAAGGGCAAGGAATGGTAGCGGTAAATAAGACCATCAGCCGCTCTCGGTGGCTGATCTTATTGAAGAGATTTTTAAAAAGTTCTGGTGCGGAATACTCATAAACCAGTTTGGAGTATCATAGCGCTTAATATAAATCGAATGCATGAAAGTTTTAAATTCTATTCTATAGAACAATAGCATAAATCTTTCTTTTTGTTATTTCATCTCAGATCTAGGACTTATACACCGATGTGCCCAAATGATTGTCATATGAGTATGTTAGTTAAATGACTTATACCTTCAGCATAGGTATCGACATATATAGTTTTCCTTATAGGCACATTTAACATTGCATTAGACCTTGGTAAATTAGTCAGAATGTCGTATTGCATTGCATCTTTAAATATTTACATTTATCCTGTACATGCTTTTCCTGTACCATCATATTTTATTCACAAGTCTGTACTGCATCGAAAATACAAATAAGTGTTTTGACGCACTTTTGCGGTGCACATATCATCGAGCGTTTGTTTATTCTTGCTTCTCCAAGAATAACCCGCTCGGGTGAAGTCATGGCTACCTCGTAAAATGCGAGGCCAGGGAAAGATTACGACGTCCATCTACTTCAAATTACTTTTGTACCGAATATTAATACGAAAATTAATTTCTTTTGGTTCATTCAAATTAGTCTTAAACCATTTAGTAACTGTAGCTATTGACGACAGATTTTTTATTTTGATCATGTAATCAATATGCTGGTAGTTTTACAGTCAGCCCACAAATACTTAAAAATTGTATTGATCGATTTAAGAACATTTAACTAACTTCAATCGTCAATCTAGAGCCCACCAACTGAGCGTTGTCAAATTAATTTGTTACACCAAAGCAATTATTGGTCTAAATGCAGTAACAAGAGTTAATTGCAGAAGTTAACAACCTTCCCTGACTCATTTGATAAAGATAGTCTGCTAAACTCATATACTAACACAACCTTACACTTGTGTGTTTGAATATTCTCGCAAACTATTCAATAAAACGCGATGACGCCACCAGGCAGTGATATCATTCATGGTCACTTCAAAGAAATCCGGACGGAAACTAAAAACAAAATGTACATACAATGGAAATTCATTAAATCCGTGAGAGTACTGATGACACATTACTTAGTACGAATACCACGCACAATATTATATTTTTTTTACATGATCGTTAAGTTTAACCCAATACTAAAAAAAATCAATAATTCATGAGGACGCTTTCTCTATATAGAGCTGAATTAAGTACTACAAGGAGGATTACACTTTATCGACTCATATGTCATGTCAAGGAAACCTTTTTTGAACTTTAGCTTTGGCCGTACTCTCTTTTTTTGACAAGAATAATATTAACTAGCTAAAAGTATGTAGCGCTTCGAAAATAGATGTTTTGCTTATTATTATGGTGACATAAATTGTCACCTTATACAAACAATCTTATACTATAATACTACATTAACTCTTAACATTTTTGTTGTTTCTGTAAAAGCTTTAGACTGTTGTTTCAGTGACATTTTAATTTCATAATTCAAGGCGGCCCTTAGCTTGATACGACTGATTTCCCAACCATGATATTTACGTAACTGAAACTGGGTTACAATCTGAATCGAAATATCTTGTGTAGCAGGAAATTTATATACATATGAATCATTTACTACGTACACTCGATAGTTTATAATTGTATTTATACACTGATAGTGATCGTGGCTCCTATTTTAACATTGTGGCAACACATTGTAGAGGGTACTTAACGTTATCTTCAGTTATGTTCCTAATCATGATTGAGAACAATTATGCACATACATATAAGTATCCATTATCCTGATAGTGCAGCCAGAGCATCTTACTAGAGAATCCTAACGTATAAATAAACAATTTATACATATCGATTCTTAGTGGATGTAGGTGGCGGGTTGTCGTTCGACGTGGAGGACTAAGGGGGAGGCTTTTGTCCAGCAGTTAACGTCTTTCGGCTGTCGATGATGATAAACTTACCAAATTCGATAACATTGTAACTGCAGAATACTTTAAAATACTCTGCCAATTTCTTAACTGTATGACATACTCAATTATTTGCATTAAAATGAGAATTTATATAGAGGTATAAAAGTTAAATTCGTCATACTTAGCCTATTTAACAAAACAGAGTGTCAGCAGTTCCAGTGAGGAAAACTGGAGTACGTACCGCAACCTTGTGGTTATACCACTCATATACAATACTTTTGAATCATTATAGTTATATAAAATAAGACCAGTCCTTACCAATTCAGCAAGTTTGAGGAGTCCAGGAGTGGAGCTCATGTACCCACTGTTGATGTAGACAGGAGTGCCTGACGTGGCCACCGTCGTCCGAGTAATGGTCAGGGAGTGAGACATCCTGGCTCTCTGGAAACCAGCACAGAACATATCATACAGGGTTATTAGTAAAAACATTACCAACTTCGTAGCTCAGTATTACGTTAATATCATAAACTCTTGTCCGTCCGTCCTGCCTATTTGAAGTCCCTATTTTTGATCTAATTTTACTTCTTATCAGCTTGAATAACAATATTTCGTGGTATTGAGTTAATGTTCCATATAATAGTCATTATAATTATTAATTAAGTATACTGATTATTTTGTGTTTCGGTAGATAAGTAGCTAAATAAAGGTGAATTACTAGGAAAATGTTAGTGTTATTTAGCGTGACTTAAAATTCATCTACATCGTATGCAAAGAAGTGCTTTAACTATCCGTGTAGGTACACAAATAACATTTTTAACATGTTAATGAAAAAATAAACATTCTTAAGAATTTGTCTACAGATGTTAAATTTTTGATACCTATGTAAGTTTTGAATGACGACAAATCTTAAGTCATCTCCGAATAAGGGTCGGTTAGGTCAACATGTTGGCGTGACGCGCAATGTTTGTATGCCGAGGTCGCCTGCTCGCCTGCTCTCACAATGCGTTACCTATAACTATGTAAGTATTATACTTCACTTTATTATTATATACAAACTTAGTTCATGCACCGTCAACGCAAGTGCATAATGGCGCATGCGTGCCTCTAACAACAAATTATTCATTCAATAAGTATGCAGATGTAATAACATTAGACCAACGTTTTGCCGCCATATTATGAATTGAATGCTACAAGCAACATCTGTTTTTACTTTACGTTTTTTGTTAAAAATACTTGGATAGTTAATTAATTAGTGTAATAAATAAAATAAATAGATATAAAGTTCCAAAGATTAATTAATGATAAGGAAGAAGAATCTAATAAAATATAATAATAGGTAAATAACAGAAACTTTAAACATTTAAATTAAACCGTACCTATTTTAATCAATAAAACGATTAACCCTCTAATGTGATATCACATTAACGAAAATAAACCATAAAGTAAGTAAACAAATAAGTATGTAAGTATTCATCATTTAAAATATAGTGTCTAAAGTTTAAATAAATTCAACGTTCCTTATTATTTTTCTTCCACAACTTAATAAAGATCAGTTATCACTTTAGGTTTATTATAAAAAGAAGTTATCAAAATACTTACAGTTTATATTATTGGACAAACGTGTTAAATTAATGAATATAGCGCACGTATGCACGAGCGAGCAATATTGGAACGACTCAGCGACTGTGAAGCGGGCTCAGCTCGCGATGACTCACCGACCACCGAGTATCGACATTGCGCATACAACATACACCAGACAGGCAGCTCTGCGCACCAAGGATACCCTCGGACGTAGTCTGGAAGCTATCGATGCAGTTACAATGAACAGACTCCGCCGAAACAAAAGAAAGGATCATTGTACTTACTGTGTACTGATGCAGAACAGTGCCCGTTGCATCTAACGCATGCGCAATCATACTCTATTTTTAACGTCTACGTGAACGTCTGCAGGTTCAAAGTCTCATAAAATTTCTGATAAGTTATCGACAGTATGTTACTTACAGTAATTCCGTCATCCATCATCTCTCTCAATTTCAATATGGTCCACTTTAATGCACTACTATTCACATCTGTGTATGACGCTGCAATCGCTTTGTTTTATTTAAGCAGTTGATAATATATAATTCTTATATTGTTACATTACATAGGTATTACATTTTTTTGAAAAAGAAAACATGTGTTGCCTACTGTTACTACCAATACACTATGGTAATTTGGTAGTATTAAGTACCACACTGCTTACACAACAGGTGACTGCACGTACTTACTGCATTGTAGTATATACGCATAGCTTTTATTCGATGATCGCCTTGCTAATTTATGTGAGCAATGTGTACTCGTGAAGGATGTGACTTATAAGGTGATGCACTAAAATGGAGGTACCACTACATTCATTCAGTCTTGGCACCCGGAAACATATATCATAATTATAATAATCAATACAGTGCTTCACTATTTAGCTAGTCAGGGACCTGATTTAAGATCTGACTGAAATGGTTTGGGTATGGATTTCAGCGAACATAAAATTCTTTTCAGAAAGTTAATTCATTCTTCATAAAAAACCGAAGAATTATTAATGGACTGCATCGTTGGCCGAGTGGTCGCAAGTGCGACTGCCAGGCAAGGGGTCTCGGGTTCGATTCCCGGGTCGGGCAAAGTATTACTGGGTTTTTAAAAACTCTCAGTATTAGCACGGAGTCTGGAATTGTACCCGGTATAAGCTCACCCCCTATTACATGGGACCCATAACATAAATAGTGAAAAGTGGGTGTTACATTGTACAGTGGCATAATGTGCACCTCTATCTAACCCTTCGGGAATAAAAGGCGTGATGTTATATTTGTTTATTAATTAGAGATGTCGTATATATATTTATTACAACACTGAAAAAGGAGCTCATACAGAATCCATAAAATAACTGTCAATAGTTCCATTAGAAATTATGAATACTAGTTTAACCCTTAGAGTGCCTCCGATCGTTGCCTGTAGCTAGTGGACGTTTTCCTTTCACCATTTTAAACTTGGCAGCTAAAGTGTTAATTTGTTGATAATGCTAATGTGGGAGCTTGACTTGTAATAGGAAATTAGTGTATTAATGTGATTGCTACAAACATATTTCTTTTTTCTAAGAACCACATACGTGTTCTGTTCTAAGTGAAAAATTTGACAGGCGGAAAAATGTTAACTACAACTGTTTCAATCGCCAGTTAAGCTTTAAGCCTCCAACCCTAGCTGTAGATCATTTAATTGTACGACTATTGCCTGACACAAGAATCGAACTCGAAACCCTTCTTTAGCAATTCTACTTTCAATTACTCGACCAACGACGCCAAAGAAGCATATAAAATAAAGCGACCACTGTTAATATACACATTTGGGTAACTAAAAAATAAAATCAAAAAAATATGTTAAAATATATTTATTAACTTTTTACAAATTAGGTCAATAAAATTAACTATTGTTTAAACTTCACATAACACCCGACATTCAACACAACTTAAATATTTCAGTACTTAACAAAAACATCAAATGTAACTTTTAAGAAGTAGATTAAATAAATGTAAGTATTGATACCCAAGAAGGTGTAAGTGTAATAAACGTGCTCAATCTCAATTAATTTTGACATTTACAAAAATACTTTTAAGGTACAAATAGATCTTTAAAAACTCACTCACAAAAATATTGAAATATGTATTTGTAAACTTTACATTTTGAAAAGTGTGAGCAATCAGAATCATCTATGTTTATGGATGCTATAGGCATCAGGTACTCAAATTAACATATAGGTAGGTATAGGTACTAAAGTGCGAGAAATATTGTCTTTACCAAACATTTTGTCCCAAATTATCTAAGAATATATTAAATTACAATTAATTCGTTTTAGATTTAACATTTAACGTTCATGCAACTTGTTTTTGTAAGACTAGTCTAACAAAATATTAGGTATAACAACCGTGAGATTAAAATACGAGTAAATATCTTATAAAAACGAAACCTAAGCGTGTACTTCGTCAAACTGGCCCCGAAATTTACTAATTGATTTCAAAATATATTTTAAAATTTTATATATTACATACTAAGAACTCAGATTTAATTTTATACCAACATATTTATAATGTGCGTTTTAGTTTCAAGTACTCTAGTTTTGGTTGACTTCTTTTGCGGTCCTGTTCTTATCAATATTTTGATGAATCTCTCCTCAAGAATTTTAATGAAACTCTACCTAGTACAGGCCATAAAGGAATCATAGACAAAAGGAGTTTTTACCTCATAGTAAAATTACCACTTTCCAACTAGGTACAGAGATTGTTCATTAAATAAACCGATTTAACGGTTTTTATTTAAAAGCATAGCTTACCATTTATATACCTCACACGTACACAATCTATGGCCATTAATTTAATATTATTCTATAATTATTAATATGAAACCGTACTGTTTGTTATGACTTTTAAATATACTATAAATATAAATTATACATAAATTACAAACTTATGTTTACCTATCTGCAGACGGTTTTGATCAATGAAACCAAAGTATTTTCTCATTTGCGATGGAATATTCGCTTCAAATAAAAATATACAATAATCATAAATACCTAATAGTTTTATTATGTGTAGATCAGCCTGGCAGTTAATAACACATTCATAAGACCTTCGAATATGAAATCAATATGTTTGTAAAGACGTGGACACATGTAGTAGGTCTATTATTTTTATACAATGTCTGTATAATGTTTATACTTTTCATTAAAATAATGTTTATATGTTGTTTCTTCATAAAAATAAATATTTAAAACAAGTGCTAACAGTTCGTAAAAAATACAGTTAGATTTCGGTGTTTTTTATCGAAAGCAAAACGAATGTGAACGATACGATGATAGGCTTTCATTGAGGTTTATGATAGTGGCCGCGGCGCATGCGCACAGGATTCAGGCTCACGCCACTTGCCCCGTCGCAGTCGATCCTCGGTGCTCCTTGAACAGCAGGAAAGAGCTGGCTGCGTACGCCACCGTGTTGAAAATACCGAACACCTGTACAAACAAACACAATTACAATTATTATATAAATTATCCAAGCCTGCTAATGCGATCAATGTCATGCATTAACGTTATTTTATTTGCACAATTAACGTTAAATTTATAGTTCGTTCCGCTATTTACATCATCATCATCATCATCATCAACAGCCTATAAATGCCCACTGCTGAGCAAAGCCTCTTCTCACACGGAGAAGGTTAGAGCGTTAATCACCACGCTTGCTCAATGCGGGTTGGCGATTTCAAACTTATAATTAGAAATTATAAGTCCAGGTTTCCTCACGATGTTTTTCCTTCACCGTTTGTCAGTGGTGTCTAAATAATCTTAGAAAGTACATATAACTAGGAAAAAGTCACATTGGTACTTGCCGTTGGTAGGTTTCGAACCCGCACCCTCATGCATGAGAAGTGGGCGTCTTAAACCTCCGGGCCACCACGACATTTACATATTGGTAAGTATTTTTGTACTTGAACCAATATACCAAATAATAATTAGAATTAAAAAAATCAACAGAAAGAAAACGTGCGAACTTTGATCAAGACATGCTTAAAATATTACACAGTCAGTGCACTACAAAAAAATAAGAAATACAAATGACATAAATCACATATGTCGAATGTATCCGACGATGTGATCGCTTGCACCGAAACTCTATCCACGAAAGCATAAGTAGGCAGTCGATATGCAAATTACAAAATAGAAAGTAAGATTAGATTCGTCGTCTTTCCCAAAGATATCTACAAAACTAAACATACAACTATCTTCATTAGTCTAAAGCTTAACACTTGTGTCCTAAATTATCTGCAATAAACCTACTTACTCATTTTCATTTATAGATTTAATATGTTACATTTATTTTAATTGATCGTCGACCATTATAAACATATATGTATATATTTGGGTTTTTCTTAGATTTCTATAAAATACAGGTAGGTATGATAGTCGGAACGTATAATATTTGTGCTTCATTTAATAACGGAAACCAAACCTGTAAAACTTAGCCTTGGCTGAATGTATACGTTTGCGTTTAGGAGCTAAATTTTATATTCTACTCGCAGGGCAATAACTTTTAAATGATAAAAATATTAAATTACCACTTCGTTGCGTTTCTGCGCAATAAACCTACCTACGTACGAAAAGTATATAGTAAACATCACATTTTCCCGTAAGCATGGAAAATGAATAATGTATTGGTTTAGCTACTTTTACTTTGTATATGTGTACAAAGCTATGCCCACTAGTAAACACTCCTACATTGCCATCACCATTGTACTGTCATTGTACAGTCAAATCACTGATTTTAATCGGTTACACGGCACATTTACAAATATTATCAAAAACATATATACATGTACATATAGCCACGTGACTGTATCATTACATGAATAGAATCCATTAGAACATCAATGACTTCCGTGTATATTATCCAGTCTGTATCATCAACATCCTATAACTGCCCACTGCTAAGCAAAGACACGAAGCAGGTTTAAAAATTAACCACCACTCTTGCTCAATGCAGGTTGGCAATTTCAACCTTAGAATTAAAAATGATAAGCCCAGGATTCCTCACAATGTTTTCCTTCACCGTTTGTCAGTAGTGTCTAAATAATCTTAGAAAGTAGGTACATATAATTCTGAAGTCACATTGGTAGTTGCCGTTGGTTGGTTTCAAACCCGCCCTCATACATGAGAGCGGGCGTCTTAAACCTCCAGGGCACCACGACCAAGGATAATATCCAGTGATAAAATCCTTGAACCGGCTTGCAACAAAAGATTTTTACCCTCTATTTAATAATTTAGTTTGTGATAGGTGCGCTTGGCTAAATAAAGTTTCCTTTATACATCACTAGCTTTTACCCGCGGCTTCGCTCGCGTCACAAAAGGATAAAAAGTAGCCTATGTGACATATACCAAGACATATACATGACATGACATATAGCCGTGAAAGCGGAACAAACAAACAAATTCACTCTCCGATTTATAATATTAGTAAGTATATAGATTATTTTCTGTCATTTAGATGTGGTTTTCCCCTTGAACTTTTGTTTACAAAATTAATTCAGTCAACCTATTCTAGCGAAATTATAAACTGAATTATTTACGTCATCTTTAATACGGCAGGCTGGAAGCATAACAGAACACTATTTCTCTACGCAAGCAAGCCATAGATTGCCATATAACATTGAAAAACAAATAAAATCTTCACCACTATTCTCAAATGCTATTGTTAAGTCGTAAATGGGCATCAATACCTATAGTACGCGACTAACTGTTGGTTGACATCATCACAATTAAAGCATTATTATAAATAAATTGTTATTAGCTGTCAAACTGGTTTCAAGCAACAAATCGTGATAACTGGTAGTACATTTCTTTACTTCGAGACTTATAAAACGTAGTCGAATGCTTTATTATACTATTATATACTAATATAATGTTGACTCTAATCTTCAGTAAATTCAAATTACTTTTTCAAACTTTTTTGTGTACCATTTGTCTATATAACCTTCTGTGTCGCACACTATTTGGCGACTAATAATATAGGTACATATAACTAAAACGAAAGTATCATATCGAATGTCCATTCTGAAAATTCGAAGTGCGATATAATTAAATCATCCTCAGACTACATAACCTGTCTGCTGAACATGACGTTAACTGTGCTATGGGGGCAAATTATATGATGTTTTTTTTATCAATCCATGGAGCATTTAATGACGATATAAAATAAAATAGTTCTCTGCGTTCTACCAATAAAGTTTGGTTTTGAATTTTATGTCTTTGCTGTGTTCGTGTGACATGCCAAAATATTACTATAATCTTTATTTTTCTAGATATTGTGAGAATTGAGTGATAACACTTACAGCTGCTGCAACGTTAGCTCCGTAGCCCGAAGCATAGTAGCCAGCGGTCGCTGCGAATAGCACGATGAAGGCGATCAGGTACATAAACGTCTCTATACTGGTACTGATCAACTCCTGGAATAATACATATTATTTGTCAGAATATTACGTTTCAATTAAACTATAACAATTTTAATTAACTGCAAAATAATTAATCACTTTAGTGCACGCTAACGGCAACCTCACAAATGTCCTTGAGCAATACATTAGATGAATTTCTGTTTTTATATTCAGTAGTGTACAGGAAAATATATTTAAGAAAGATATTTCAACAGGCCAATTAACAAATAATACACAATATTGATCGTTTTCAGTTACGTAGCCAATCTCAATAGAGATGCACCAACTACGTAAAAGATGAATTAAACTAATGCACCAATATGTGTACAGACATATGTGGACTCTGCTCTAATATTCTCAAAAGAACAAAGAAGTCAGTTACAAGACCAATATGGCTCTACATAATTTTTGAGTTACGTGAGTGAACACAGCTAATACGCAAATCTACGGGCTATTGGCGCTAATTTTAATTATAATAATTCATTACCACTTTTTACCCAATTCAGAATTGATGACTACCATTACAAAGTATCGGATTGGTAGGGCGATGCTGATGAGTAAGCAATGCGTAAAGTGTAAGTAACTGGGCAACAACACGTTACTAATATGATGACAATACTTTTGTTGAGCATTACCCTAATTAGATTTCGGCACATCGAAGAGCTTGCAATGTGATATTTAACGTGTCAGTTTAAGGAAAATGTATGAAATATTTTTATTAGGATCACAGTAAATGTTTACAAAATTAGTCGGATACTTACGGACAAAACCCAGTTAATGGGGATTTTGAGGACTTCCTTAATGCTGAGCAGGTACACGAAACTCCAAATGAGAGTGGTAATGAAACTCGTGACGGCTACGAAGACGAACCACGTGGAGTACCAAGGCGACGCCAGCGCCATACACAAGATACCAAGCACCTGAAAACAAATAACCAATTTGTTAAAACATTTTCAACTTTGACTTGCAATCTTTTGTTCTTGCCCCATAATAATAATAGTTCTCATTTATGACTTCATTCTTTTGTTGTTTTCACACTTTCATAGAAGATCAATATCTTTTTGACTTTTGTTGGATTGGTCGGTTTACAAGCTACAGTTTTTATTTCAGTCTAAAACCACGTGACTCTACAGTATCCATAGAAAAAACTATTTAACTCAAAATCGCAGTAAAATTAAATACGTGCAATATTAATTACTACAACTTAGATGTAGTGTTGTAAGAGCATCCCGCAGTGGGGTTCCAAAACCCGGCCTTAACGACGCGGGAGATTTTTGGGACTCGGTTTATATATAAACAAATCTAAAATAGTACATGTTGTCCTCAGCTCTCTTCTTCTCATCTTTGTCAGTATGCTATACTATTTCAAATCATTATCCTTACTTACGTTTGGGGTGGAATTTACTGGTATTCCAATTAAAGTGAATCATATTAGTGTCTAAGTTTGGAAAACGTGCACCTGTTGTTCTACGCTAAATACCTAGATAGGTTATCAATCTAATTCTAGCATATATCGCAAAAATCTTCTTAATGTAATAAAATTAATTATTATAATATTAATACTAGATCAATTGGCAACCTGTTGTATTTTTGTATTTATTTCACATGTAATAGTTGGAAAGAAAAGCAACTCTATCTACGGTGCTGAGATGGTGACACACACTATGTTTAATTAAAATTAAATTACTTGATATTAACACCATTATTACACGAAGGGGAAGGCAGGATACATACATTTATTAATACATACATAGTTACATTGCTATTCCCGTAAGGTTTATAAGGCTCGAGTTTATTACAATAGCCATTTTTTGTTCTTATCATTAAAACATCTGAATAATAGCAATATTTCACAAAAACTATCACAAATTCACTATTACTTAAAAAATTATTCAACTTTTACCCCACGATATAATTCGACACGTGACTAATTCTGTTATGATTTTGTGAGTATCTTATCTTTTGAAAAATGTGATAAATATTATCCCAGAACATGACTCATCGATTGATTATGACAAATTTTTGTTGTGTTCATTGAATAGTAAATAATCTAGTATTATTCACAGGATTATTGAATTTATTATTGTGGTATTATGCTGTAACCTCTGAAGCTACTTCGTGTGAGTCAAACAATGGACGCAGGGAATGACTAACGGCACTAAAGATGCATGACACTGATGTTTAGATAAGAGTTTTTATCGCTGAAACGATAACATTCAATATTGTCATGTTACAAAGGGGAAAATTCGTTTTCCACATTTTACGTAAACATGTGAAATCGAGTCTTGCTTGCATCAAACTGAATCAAACGTAAACTACTCATTTAGCTCTAGGGCGTCTCTACAGGCGGATACACAATAGCAGGCTGCTGTTATTGTAACAATAGCAAGTATTTTATATGATGTTACATTGGGGAATTTATACAGAATTGATAAGGTCTGTAATACATATTCACCTTCTTGCAAGTTATTCGCATAAAAGTTAATTGTATATACATAAATATTGTAGAAACTAATATTATACATAATTAATGGCATTTTGTAGTTTACAATAAATAAAAATATTCCTGAAAGTTTGTAATAACTCACAAAAAGATTTTAGAATTCCACGTCACTGTCATTTATACCTGATTTGTATGTAATTGTTGAACTCATTAATTTTGTGACGTAACTAATGCATTATAATTAACGTAGTCTTTAAAATTCCTTTATTGAACGATCCAAAAGTATCAATCAGCTAATTACTCGGTTTGTAATGTACGATGTTCATCAAAAGACAAATTTTTTGAAGCCCACGACACTTGTCTGTATAATAGTCAATATACGTGTCTATACCATTTTAAATAACATAACCAGCACGAAGTAATAGATAAAGTAGCGGTAGTTCCCGGTACCACTAGGACAACGGTGTCAGGTAAATGTGAACCATTAGCGTAAGCGTCCATCGAAGAAGGCGGCAAGCATGCGCGGGCGCAGGTACGAACTCGCCGCCACAACGCGCACCACAGCGCGACAGCAGAGCGTGGCGCGCGGCCTCTACCAAGCGAACCGGTTTGATATCGCGCGCGAACACGAACCCTCTGTCGCAATGCCCGCTAACAGGTGTTGTTTGTAGAAATTCCATCCGATAACCAAACAGGCAAATACTGTCTTACTATAAATTGCAACCATCCCACGGAGCCTTTACAAGTAAACAACTAGCATGGACCGCTGGTCTGAAGCATAATGAAATATGTATAAACACAAACACTGTTTAGATGACATCCGCTCCACAAACACATTGTTTATGTACGGACATTGCTAAGGAAGGACGAAAATGTGTGTCAAATGAGGCACGTGCACAGCTGCATAACATATGGAGAAAGTGCGGCACCGAGCGCAACCGCGGGGCAGACCGAGCAGTCGCGGGGACGTATATGTGACATGACCGCCATACCGAGCTCTATCAATGGGTTCACAGACCATCGTCGCTTTTACACGTTGCAGTCTCGCTCCAAATAACAAACCGTGGCCGGATTTCCGATACTCTGTATTCCGTATCTATTGACGAAAGTGCCACAAATAATAGGACACACCCGCAGGATTTGTATACAATTACTTCTATATGTATACTGAGTGCACACCTTAATCAGAATTAAATATACACATTCAAGATAAAGGTAGTGTTTGCTTAACAAGTCTTAGAACACGATCAAGATCTTTTTTAATCCAGAATAATTGAACAATTTCAAATGCAAATGTACTAACGCTAACATATCAGGCTACCCAAAACTGTTTAATAGAGAAATAAAGCTCAAATAAAGAAAGCTTTTTGTACTGGCGTTTCTACAAAGATACATCAGTAGTTAAATTGACGCTATAACAAATTATAAACTATCTCCATAACGTTAACGTAGCTGCTACGCGTCGTCTACGTCTTGCGAAGCTGCTACGCACGTCTACGACAGGTTAACGCAACGCCTACGAACGGCTACGCAATGACTACGAAGCGACTACTTAACACTACATTGATCACAGACTACGTACGACTACGCAATGAGTTGTAAACTCGTAATACGCTTGATTTCTTTCATTTCTATAGTTGGTTTATAGTTTTGCACCTTCGAAAACAAAGATGTCATTACATTACATAGACCTTTTCTACGTAATTAACTCTACATCGTCACATTAATAATAACAACTAAATCACATTATTCCTAAATTATTAATGTGTCTAAAATGGTTTGAATAATGTTACTTTTACGATTAACCTTTGGGTACTATTTACTTAGCGTGTATTTGTACCGTTACTTGCCTACCATGCAAAGGTACAATGCGAATTTGCCCTTGAAGCTTATACCGATTCAAAATGGCGATTAATTAAAGTGCCTCAATCGATCCATCGTTATTTTTAAACCATTGAAGTATTACTATTATGACTGGCGAAATGTTTTCAAATATCGTTAAACCTTAAATACGTTTGTAGAACAATGTCCAAGAAAATAGACATAAAGCGGTTAATAGTATAAATAAATGATGAATGTGTTTGCCTGACACTGTTCTGTAAGTAGGGTGCTGTATCGAAGTCAATCCAGCTACGCAACGGTTGCGAAGTGAAAATGCAATCAAGTAACATAACATTGGGGTCAATGGGTGCGTGCGGCGTGGCGTGCGCGGCGCGGCGCGGCTGCGTGGAGCTCGCGGTCGCGCGGGCGCCCGGGCTGCTTGCCCAAACCGTCTAGTCGGTTCATTGACCACACTTCCGCGTAGGGTTCAGATTTGACTTCGTGAAATGGAAACCGATTCGTAACCTTAAAACTTAACTTTCACCTCCAATTTGCTTGTCTACGTGTTTGTGTTCATTAACTTTCAATATTCAATACATGCGTAAAAATATTCTGAAAGCAACTACGGGTATGTGAGAAAATACGCTCAATTAAAATCAGAAAAAATTAAATTCATTTAGGTACCTAGCCACTTACGTGAAAATATAAATTAAAAACCAGCTAAACAACGTTGTTATGTAACTTGAGCTATTGTCTTATACGACATACCTATTTGTGTGCAATTGTATTTTTATTTCCACTTAGTAAAGGAGGTTCCGCGTCAAGTCGCTAACATCCAATTATCAAATACTGGTACAATGATGTCGGCCTTGAAAAATAATCTTATAAAATGAAATAAATATACCCACATAACACATTAACAACATGCCAATCGTCGCAGATTTGACGTTGAATTTTAATTTGGTGCTCGCTCACGCTCACGAAAATGACGCAATCCACAGATCTAGTCAGACTTCGTTTTAAGCAAGCGAAGTGCCTGGCCACCAATTGAGCCGCATACTTTAATAGTAGTTACGAATGGCATTCACATTAACTGTATATTATAGTACCTACCAATATGCATCTATCTGAACTACTTTAAGTTGCATATCTCCGCATTCCACGCAAAAATATGACAGCAATAGTCTCACAAAGACCAGTGCAGCGATCGCTTTGACCGCAGACTGAACTTTAATATTTAATATCACGTTTAGAAAAGTTCACAAGCCAACTCAAACGGAATGATTTTCAAAGAAAGTTATTTCAATTTCATTGACCTTGATTTCGCAACCGTGACTGTACGACAACGACAACGCAGCACGAACTGACGAAAGCGATGTTTACTAACAGATGAACATAACAACACGAAAAACTGATGCTGATTGTGAAGGAAACGAAACACAGAGAATTGCGTTTGATCTTCTCGTATAATATTGAAGTCACAATTACGTATACGTGTCTTTTTCTCGTGACCTTCAGCGAGTTGTAACGAAAGCTATACACAAGTCTTAATATACATAATACATACGTATAATTATAATAGGTGTCTAAAGATCACAAACGGAACATGAGTAGAAATAACGTTGTATCGTAGTTGATGAGTTTAAGTCACATCAG